CCACACTGCTTCTCTCACAGCCTGCCACCGGGAGCGTTCTGCTGCAGCTGTAGCCATGCCAGAGGGATCCCAGGGCTTCAGAAGTCAGGGGCTGATCTCCCAAGCCAATCCTGCTAATAGGGAGGTGCACAGCTCCCCCCCCTCTCCCCCCCCGGGATGCATCTGTGACTGGCCTGCTCCTCTCAGAGCCAGCCAACAGGCGGAGTTCTCCGCTGGTGCTATGGCCCTGGGTTGCCGTGGTGACAAACATGGTAGTTCAGGCAGGGTTACATAACTCTGGCCGGGAGAGGAAAGTGTTTAAAAATAAAAGTGGCTGTTCCCGTGCCCAGGAACAAAGAAGGGGGAGGGAGAAGGAACAGGAAGGCCGGGAGCCCTGGGAAGAAGGGGCTCTGGGGAGAATTTGTAGTGAATCCCCCAGAGGCAGGGCCCTGTCCTTAATCACCTCTGTGCGCTCAAAGCATGGCAGCCAGGCTGGGCTTCTGCTGAGGCCATTGCTTCAGCTCCTGGCTGAGCCGAAGTGACAACGGGAAATTTCCACTGAAAGCCTGGGGCTTGCTACAGTACTAATAACGAGATCTAGTTCACGTCTCTCTAGCGCTTTCCCTCTGTCGCTGCCAGGACAGGGCAGGAGCAATATCTGCCTGCCACAGCTGGGCTAACGGAGGCCGAGCAGGAAGGTGGCTGCCCAAGATCACCTGGCCTGCCAGTTTGATGCTCTCTGCTAGAACATGCTGGCTGCCCTGTGGGCTGCGTACACCTCGGGCTCAGATCGCGGGGCATCGGCTCTGGGCTATAGCTAGAGACTTGGATCTTAGACCTACAGACTCGCTGTGTCACTTCGGGCAAACCAACAAGCCTCTGCTTCCACACCAGTATCCCGGGGAGATTATTACTTCACTGTGCCTGCCTCGTGTGTGAGCGTTTCTGGACAGGGACTGACTGTACCCAGTGCTTCAGTCGTAATGAAAGAGACGCCGGGCCTCAAGCAATTAGGTGCCAGGGCTCAAGCATTTTTTTTTTTTATTTTACTTTCATAACCAATGGAGCAAGCCCAGAGGTGCCGGAATGCTAAACTGCCGGGCCCAGAGGTGCCAGGCTCTGAACTGCCGGGCCCAGAGGTGCCGGAACGCTGAACTGCCGGGCCCAGAGGTGCCGGAACGCTGAACTGCCGGGCCCAGAGGTGCCGGAACGCTGAACTGCCGGGCCCAGAGGTGCCGGAACGCTGAACTGCCGGGCCCAGAGGTGCCGGAACGCTGAACTGCCGGGCCCAGAGGTGCCGGAACGCTGAACTGCCGGGCCCAGAGGTGCCGGAACGCTGAACTGCCGGGCCCAGAGGTGCCGGAACGCTGAACTGCCGGGCCCAGAGGTGCCGGAACGCTGAACTGCCGGGCCCAGAGGTGCCGGAACGCTGAACTGCCGGGCCCAGAGGTGCCGGAACGCTGAACTGCCGGGCCCAGAGGTGCCGGAACGCTGAACTGCCGGGCCCAGAGGTGCCGGAACGCTGAACTGCCGGGCCCAGAGGTGCCAGGCTCTGAACTGCCGGGTCCAGAGGTGCTGAAAGAACTGGTCTTCCTTAGTTTAGAAAAGAGAAGACTGAGAGGGGACATGATAGCAAGTACCTAAAAGGGTGTCACAAGGAGGAGGGAGACAAATTGTTCTCCTTGGCCTCTGAGGATAGAATGAGAAGCAATGGGCTTAAACTGACACAAGGGAGGTTTAGGTGGGACATTAGAAAAAATTTCCTAATTGTCAGGGTGGTTAAACACTGGAATAAATTGCCTAGGGGGGTTGTAGAATCTCCATCACTGGAGATATTTAAGAGCAGGGCAGACTGACACCTGTCAGTGATGATCTAGACAGTGCTTGGTCCTGTCGTGAGGGCAGGGCACTTCATTTGATACCCTCTTGAGGTCCCTTCCAGTTCTAATGTTCTATGATGATTCTATGATGATAGTCGACAGGCTAGTTGACTAGTCGCTTACCCCTGCCTTGCTGCCTCTATCAGAAAGAGGCAGCAAGGGGGTG